GGGGGTAGTGAGGTAATTTCCGCGTTCCGGCGTCACAGATTTGAGTCACCCCAGGGGCAGAATCGAAAGTGATCACTCAGCGCGGGGCGGGGTCCCCGGGTGCAGCCGAATGGGGCGTCATTCAGCAGTGGTCCGGGACAGCGGCGGGGTATCAGGAGGGTAAGCTCCAGGAGATGGGGTCGGGGCCTCCGTGGGCCCCTGGCAGGCGACGGTGGGAAGGCCAGAGGGGTCTTGGGCTAGGGGACAGTGCCCTGCTAAGGAGTCTGATGGGCAGGGAGGCCGGGCAGCCTAGGGACCCCCAGAGGTGCATGCAGGCCTTGTACCTAGCCGGAAGCACGTTGACTCAAAGCCCCTCATCCCGACTGGCTGGACCCCCGCCCCACTTTGGGAGCCCTATCCCAGGTCCGGCCCTGTTTCCCTCGCGGGGACAGTGGACCCACCAATGACTTCAGATCCTGTCCAAGCCCGTTATGACTGGCTTTCACCAGCTCCGCACCCCTCCTTCTGAGCAGCCTCTGGGTTTAGGGGTGCCACAACAGTCTTCTCGGAAGAGGGTTTCAGGTGAGAGGCAAGCCGAGGCCAAGCTCGCCGCCTGGTCTAGCACTTACATTCCCTCCAAAACCCCCTTGACTTTGAGCAGTATTTGCAGAAAGCCATTCCCTGCCTCCCGCTTGGCCCTGGGGTTCCACCAGACAGTGGGAGCCAGGTGCCCCATTCTCCCTGCGAACCTTATGGTGGGCTGATGTGGACAGTAGGATGCGCTGGGCAGGGTCGCCCAATGCTTCCTGCGTTTATGCAGGCAGGTGTGGGCCAATGCTTCCTGCGTTGATGTAGGCAGGTGTGGGCTTCACTGGCCCCACCACCTCTCAGCAAAGGTGTGGTGCTCCTTTTATGTCCAGCAGCGGAAGGGTCTTGCAGTGTTGGGGTCCAGAAGCTAACAGCTGGTGGGACTGCCTGGTGTGAGAGGTCCTGGGGGCTAGGGTTTCTGTTGCCATGACAATCTCCCTCCTTGGGCCAACTTCCCCCGTTCTCCTTGAGGAGGACGTGGAGAACCTCAGAAGGAGGGGTGGCTGGTCAGGGTCAGTCAGGCCCCCCACTTGGGAGGTGGGTACTGTGGCCTCACAGGCTCCCATGCTAACAGTGTCCTTCTTGGTGTCACACTGGACAGAGTCCTGCCCTGCAGCCTTGTCCCTGCCCTGCTGAGCACTACTCCAACTGATCCGGGCCAAAGACTGTCCACCTCCCCCCAAGAAGACCAACTAAGCCTAGGAGCCAGGACGCTGCCCCCCACAGAGCCAGAGCAGGATCCACAATGGGGTCACTGGTGCGTGGCCGGGCCCTGCCCAGTCCTGCACCTGCCAAAGCCCCTTCCCTGGCAGCTCTGTATGAACAAGTGGATCTGCACCTGGGCTGCAACCGCTGCACCCAGCGCCTCAATGAGAGCACCTACCTGCTCCGCACTGGCCTGGAGCACAGCTGTCCCCGCGAGATCCTGCTGGCCCGAGCCAAAGGCAGAGACCAGTGCCTGACCTGGCGCCAGGTGGGCCGGCGGCCCCGCTTCCCCCAGCCGGCCCGTTACCTCGTGTGTCGCTACTACAGCCCTGGTCTCGGCTGCCGTCGCCACTGGAACCAGTGCACCTTTGCCCACAGCCCAGAGGAGGCTTTGGTTTGGACCTTCGAGCGGGACCATGGCGTGTCTCGGCTGTGGCTGAAGGCTGCGGTGCAGGGTGGGGACTCTGGGGCCACCAGCGGCCCATGCATCCCTGCTGACTCCATCCGCGCTGAGTTTGCGGGCCACTTCCAGCTGCTCTGCTCCAGCTGTTTCCGGAGCCGCCCATCGCGCCTTAGCCCCATGGATGCCAGGGGCCGGTGCCCAGAGCACGGGGCCTGCCGCCCACTCCTGACCCATGTGAGCACCGGGCACAGCAAGCAGCAGTTCGTGGAGGTGCGGCCGTGTCCCAAGCACAGGCAGCCCCTGGCCTACTGCAGGTTCGTGGAGCGGGGCCAGCCATGCAGACACGGGGCAGCCTCCTGCCAGTTTGCCCACAGCGACGTGGAGATGGCCGTCTGGAAGGCGGAGCAGCTGGACGGGCTGCAGCGCAGGGACCTGCTGGTCCCCCAGGACCCAGAGGGCACAGCCTGTGAGCCCCGCACTGGCCAGCCCCCTGAGATTCAGCTCTACTGCTATGCCTGCCTGCTCACCTGCCACTCTCTGGAGGCCTTCGAAAACCACTGTGCATCCCCGGAGCATGCACGGATGGTGGCCTTTGACCCTGCTGTGTCCTGGGAGCACCGTGCCCCTCCCATTGGCCTGTCAAAGTTCCAGCTCTGCCCCAGGTGGGTGTGGTCATCCTGGTCTGAAGGCCCTTGCCCCCTGCCCACCTGTGCAGTGGGCTGAGGCCCTTGGCCTGGAGGAGTTGGGACTTGGGGTGCTGGTTCCCCTCCTTGCTCTGATGATCACTCCCACGCGCAGGCCTGACCTCTGTGAATACAAGGACTCCTGCACAAAGGCACACTCTCAACAGGAGCTGCAGGAGTGGGTGCAGAGGACGAAGACTGTGGAGCTGCGGCAGCAGGCAGCCTGGCAGGGGGGGCTGGTGTCCTATCAGGCTCGGCTGCTGGCCGAGTACCAGCGCAGCAGCAGAGAAGTCCTTGTGGTGAGCACAGAGCTGCCAGGGAGTGGGTGGGAATGGGGAAGGGGTGAGGCCGGCCCCAGGAAGAGATAAGGTGGGCCGGTGAGGAGTGAGCTGGAAGGGTTAGAGGGCTGTTAGCAAGAGTGGGAGGTGAGTGAGACCACTTGGGTGACCACGATTCCCCGCAGCTGGCTGAGACTGTGGCTGGTGTATCAGTGACCTGTGACCAGCCTCTGGTGCATGAAGCTGAGGGGAGGATCGCCCAGCACCTATGGACGTTCCACATCCACTCTGAGGTAAGAACACAGCCCTCAGCCTGGGGGTAGAGGGCCTGGGGGGCTGTCATCACATCTGGACAGACACTGGGGATCTAGGGTTTGTGTGACCTGGACAGCCCTCAGTCTCTGTGCTCTGTTCCTGCCGATGCATGCCCCACGCTGGGTGCAGATTTTGATTTGCACTCCCAGTTACCTCGATTTCACTGATGAGAAAACCGAGACTCAGGATGAGCAGGCAGCTCTAGACAGACAGCCTGGATGCTGGGCACCGCCCTTTCACCCCTTCTTTTCCCCAGGATCCCCTGCTGCATGTGGCTCTACTCAGGCAGGAACTGGGAGCTGACTTCTCCCTGGTGACCCGCTCTGCACAATCTCCCAGCCTGCTCTATGCTCAGGGGAGACACTTCTGTACACCTGGCTCCTGGGCAGACTTCCGGGTGGGGGTGTCCGTGAAGGGAGCTGCCTTTGGCACCTTTGAGCAGTGGCTGGTTTTTGACTTCGGGCGCCGGCCGGTGCTGCTCCGAAAGCTAGTACTTCGAGTGGGCCAGGTGCACAGCTGGGGAAGCCAGGGGGCTGTGGGGCCTCGCCCTTGCCAGGAACTAGAACGATGGCACACTGGCAACCGCCAGATAGTGCCCAGCGTGGACCGAACAGACGAGCAGGTCTCCCTGATGGCCAAGTACAAGACACCATCCCTGGCCCTTGATTTTAGTCCCAGTGGCTCTGATACAGGGCCACTCACCTGCAGCAACTACCGACAGAGGATGCACCAGTTTCTCTATGAGGAGGAGGCAGCGCAGCAGAGGCTGGTGGCCAAGTGAGTGGCATCGGGCAGGTGGAGGGAGCCCCAGCCCTCGGGCCCTGGGCTGACTGAGCCTCCCCCCCCCCACAGGCTGGACCTGCAGACCCAGGTGGCCCTGAAGCCAGCTCTACAGACACCAGCCATGGGCCTGGTCCTGGCACCCCCTGGGGCGCTGTATGCTGAGGTGACCTTGCCTGCCTCCCTGACGCCGGACACAGACCAGGGCTTCCTGCTGGGCCGGGCGGTCAGCACAGCTCTGGTGGCACCCGTGCCTGCCAGGGACAGCACAGTGTTCGAGGCTCGCCTGGAGGCACGGGCTGGCTTCCAGCAATCTCTGTGGCTGCTGCTGCCTGCCCGTTGCTGCTCGGCCCTGGGCTTGCAGGTGGAGGCCAGCCCTGTGCTAGAGGTGCAATTCCAGGTGGATCCAATGAATTTCCGCCTCTGGCATCAGGCTGTGGATGACCTGCCCACGGAGCAGCTAGTGCTGCCCACTTTGCCAGCCTGCGGCCCACCTGCCCCGCACCCTATCCCACCCACCCTGCAGGGCAACAGCAAGCAGAAGCTGGCCATGGGGCTCATTGCTGGTGTCTCAAGGGGCCCAAAGCCCACCCCCCCGATGCTCATCTATGGCCCCTTTGGCACCGGCAAGACCTACACACTAGCCATGGCTTCCCTGGAGGTTGCCCGACAGCCCTCTGCCAAGGTGCTCATTTGCACACACACCAACAGGTGAGCTGAGTCCCAGATAGCCCCGTGAGGGGTGACAAGGCTCTTTCATGGGGGGTTATCCCAAGAGACGCTAAGGTGGGGCAGACTGTCTTGGGTCTGGGTTTGAACTGGTCTGGGGGTATCACCAGCAGCTGCCTAAACTGTCCAGAGCTGCCAGGTTCCAGATAGCAACTGAGGGCCAGTTGTGCAGCCTGGTGTGCCAGGCCCTCGCAGGACCTGCTTCCCCTCCCCCTTGCAGCTGACCGCCTGGAGTCCTGGGCTGACCTGAGGTGGGAGGCAGTCTGCGAATTAGCACCATGCGCAGGCCCTACGTAGAGAAGGAGAGGGAGCGAGAGAGAGAGTGCTACAGGGTAGCCCAGGAAATGTAGCCACAGTGGGTGCGGCTGAGGTGGCCCTGGATGGGGAGCAAGAAGGCTCTGGGTGGGGAGGGCTGCACCCACCCTACTGGTGGAAGCATAGCTGTTTCTGCACAGATTTCTCTACCCTAGAGTTCCTCTTGGTCTCTGAGGTTTTCCCAGCTCCTCCTGCTGCTGCCCTCAGGGCATTCCCTCCCTGACCCAGGGCAGGAGAGCTGCAGGCAGAGGGTGCCCAGGCTGCTCTCTGCTGGAGCTGGGTCAGACCAGGCCTGGTGAACAGGCATCTTTGAGAGGGGCTGGGCCTCAGGGTAAGGAGGTAAGACTTGTCCCGCTTCTTGTCCTGGGAGCTGAGTGCTAGCTTCACTGCTCCCCGGATGTATCCTAGCAAACCAACAACCACTGAAGTGCCCAGTCCTCAGGCCTGAGTGAGGCCAGGGCAGCACGTCCCTCTGAACTTCTGGTTCTTTTGTGTCTCTCTTGGTTCTGAGAGCCCCTCTCTGCCACCCTCGTCACTAGACCCTTCTCTCTGGGCATCTTCAGAGGCGCTGTGTCCAGGGTGACCCTCTAAGGAGTTAGAACCAACCCTATCCCCGAAGACTCTGTTTCCAAGTAAGCATATGAGGGTTCTGAGAGCTAGCATGTGGATGAATCTTTCTGGGGGACACATGTTGACCTGCTATGCCTGCTGATGGCATAGGAGCAGCACTCAGGGTCACTCTGGTGCCCCTCCAGCCTGCTTCTCCCCATGTCTCAGCTCAGAGGTCTCCTCTTAGGCCATCCTCTGATCACCTATGCATTTGAGCTTTCCCTGTCTACCTGGACCTGTGTGTCTGTCCCCTCTTTGTGCGGGGCCTCATGCAACATCTCCCCACAGCGCAGCCGACATCTACATCCGGGAGTACTTCCATGGCCATGTTAGGAGCGGCCACTCTGAGGCCACGCCGCTCCGGGTCATGTACACAGATCGGCCTCCAAACCAGACAGACGTGACCACGCTGCAGTACTGCTGCCTGACAGAGGACCGGCGGGCCTTCCGCCTTCCCTCTCCCTCTGAGCTACGGCAGCATCGAATTGTGGTCACCACCACCTCCCAGGCTCGCTTACTCCACGTGCCTGCTGGCTTCTTCTCCCACATCCTCATTGACGAGGCAGCCCAGATGCTGGAGTGTGAAGCCCTGATCCCACTGAGGTATGCCACGGTCCACACCCGCGTGGTGCTGGCGGGCGACCACCTGCAGGTCACTCCCAAGCTCTTCAGCGTGCCCAGCGGCCAGGCGGCTGGCCACACACTCTTCAATCGCCTGTTCCTGCACTACCAGCAGGAGACACATGAGCTGGCTCGCAGGAGCCGTGTTGTCTTCCATGAAAATTATCGCTCCACCCAAGCCATTGTGGCCTTTGTCTCCCGCCACTTCTACCTGGCCCAGGGCAACCCCATTCACGCTAGTGGCCAAGTTCCACGTCACCCGCAGTGCTATCCCCTTATGTTCTGCCATGTGGCCGGCAGCCCGGAGCAAGACATCTCTCAGACCTCCTGGGTCAACCCGGCTGAACTCCTCCAGGTGGTGGAGAAGGTGCAGGAGGTGTACGACACCTGGCCCCCCTGCTGGGGCAGCCGGGAGCAGCGGTGCATCTGTGTGGTGTCCCACGGTGCCCAGGTGAGCACACTGGTTCTACGTGGGCCTGGCTCCACCTCGACAGCCGTAGCAAGAGGAGAAAGGTCTCCTTCCCAAGGAAAGGGCAGAGTGGGACCTGGGTGGAGAGTGATGCCCTGGACCCTGTCCTTTCTCTGTTCGTGTGTCCCTTGGGGCAGGAAGACAGAGGGCCAGACCTGGCTGACTTCCTGGTCTTGCTGTATCTGCAGGTCAGTGCTCTGAGGCAGGAGCTGAGGAGGCGACGTCTGGCAGAGGTGTCCGTGGGCAGCTTTGAGATCTTACCAGGTAGGTTGGGGGTCCCACTTGAGGACCAGCTTGAGGCTGGTCTTCTACTGTGCTGCTTGGGCACACGAGGGGGCGTGGATTCTATAAGGGAATTGGCTGCCTCCACATGAGGTCTGGGAGCTTCCACCTGTGAAGTGTCCACCCACTCCAAGTACAGGGTCAGCCAGAAGGCCCTGACCCTTGGTCTCCAGGGCAGAAACAGGACCCTGGCCCTAACCTGGTGAACTTTCTTCCCCAGTCCCACCTCTGGCCTCTGACCCCTGCCTTTGTCCCTCCTGCTGGGAGCAGATTTCTCAGCCTCTGAGCTCTGACCTTGTCTTTCCAGGGCGCGAGTTCCGGGCAGTGGTGCTCAGCACGGTGCACACTCTGGACAGCCTGCGTGGCCCAGGTGCACCCAGCTTGGAGTTCTTCATGGAGGTGCGCGTCCTCAACACCATCCTCACGCGTGCCCAGTCACAGGTGGTGGCCGTGGGCAATGCCTTGGCCCTCTGCTCTTTCGGGGCCTGCAGCCGATTATGGAAGGCCTTCATCCGAGAGTGCGTGAAGCATGGGAGTGTGTGTCCCCAGGACTTGTCCCTGGAGCAGATTGAGCATGGTGTGACCCAGGCCCAGCACTGGGCTCAAGGATGTCAGCTGGCCACTGCGCCAGGAGCAGAGGGGACAGGGACTGGCTCAGAGGACCCCACGTGCAAGGACCTGCCCCCGGAGCACACCCCCCTTTCAGAGAGTACAGCTGCAGGGAAGGAGGAGGCTGATGGGGCCTTGGCCGGAGAGGAGGTGTCCCAGGACCCCGAGGATGTGGAATCTGACTTCTGGCCATCACACTGGGCTCTCAATGCTGACGACCCGATCCTCCAGGAGCTCCTGGATGAGAGTCGGAACGTGGCGGTGACTGTGCGTGAGGACGGGCTGCTGGACACTGTGGTAGGGCCCGCCTCTGCACGCCAGGCCTGCCAGTACGGGAACCTGCCCCCTGGCGAGCTCCGCAGGCTGCTGCGGACTGAGCCCAGCAGGCATCGCCGCTGCTCCTTCCTCCAGGAGGCCTTTGGGCGGGCCACGGCCGTGGCACTGGACGACATGGTCCCTGCCACCTTCCAGATCAAGGGCCGCTTCAACTGCGGCATGGCCTTCACTGGAGACGAGGTGGTGGTGCGAGTCCTGGGTGGGGCCGGTGACAGCCAAGAGACTGGGGGCTCACCACTGGGCCAAGTGCTGGGCGTGCTGAAGCGCTGCCGGCGGGAGCTGGTTTTTGTGTGCAGGATGGACGCGTGGGATCCCCGCATCATGGTTCCCATTGATGCCTCCGTGACCAAGATCTTCGTGGCTGAGCTGAAGGACCCCCTGCAGGTGCCAATCCACCGCCTGGCCCATGGCAGCCTGCAGCGCGTGGGCCACGAGAAGCTGCCTGCCGAGGCGCGGCGCTCCCGGCTCTTCTGGGTGCGCATTGTGCTCTGGCGGGAGCGTTTCTACTACCCACTGGGCGTCATCCTGGAGGTGCTGCCAGAGGTCACCTCCTGGGAGCGAGGCCTGCATGTGCTGGACCTGGAGTACGGCCTGAGGGAGTCCTCACTGGACCCTGCTGCCCTTGCCAAAGTGCCTCAGAGGCTACGCACGGAGCTTGCCCGCACATCCGGACAGCGTGAAGATTGCAGGAGCTTCCTGACCTTCACCGTGGACCCTCAGGGTGCCTGCAACCTGGACGATGCCATCAGTGTCCGGGACCTGGGATCCCAGTACGAGGTGGCTGTGCACGTCACCGACGTGGCCACTCTTCTACCCCGGGACAGCCCACTGGATGTGGAAGCCCGCCGGCAGGGCACCGCCTTCTATGCACCCAACCGGGAGCCAGTACCCTTGTTCCCGCCAAGCCTGAGCCAAGGTTCGCTCAGCCTCCTGCCGGGCCAGGACCGCCTGGCCATCTCCCTCTTCTTCATCATTGAGAAGGACAGTGATCAACTGAGTAGCCAGCACTTTGCCCCCTCTGTGGTCCGCTCTGACCACCAGCTGTCCTACGAGGAGGCTGAGCTGATGATCCGGGCAAACCCAGGAGCTGACCGCATGCTGCCACCCCGCCTGGACTCGGTGGCCGCCTGTGTTGTGGCCGCCTTCCACTTCTCCCAGACTTTGCGCCGTTGCCGCCTAGGCAGTGCCTGCCACTATGAGCAGCTGGACGAGGGCAGTGTGCTGGGCTTCCGGGCAGCGCACTCCATGGTCAAGGAGTACATGATTCAGTTCAACCGCAGCGTGGCCGAGTTCCTGGTGGGCAGCAGGCTCACAAGGACGGTCACGCCCCTGCGCTGGCAGCTGGCGCCCAGCACTGACCAGTTGGACACCCTGAGTGAGAAGCACTGTGGACTGGTGGCCCTGTCTCTGCGCCTCCGCCAACAGCTGAGTGGCCACCTTCGCCCTGGCACGAGGTTCTGTGTGCTGGCCTCGCTTTGGAAGCAGTTGCAGCTGGCTGTGCAGGCTGAGGACTTTGGCCAGATGGTGGACCTCATCACTACCGATGACCTGCACCCCTCACTGGCCCCTGTTGGCCTTGAACTTTGCAAAGCCCAGTGCCGCTCAGCCTTTGGCCGCTCCAGCCTTGGCGAGCGACAGCCGGCCGCCCACCACTCATTGCAGGTGGCCTGGTACTCTTGGGCGTCCTCCCCCATCCGCAGGTACATGGACGTGGTGCTGCAGAGGCAAGTCCTCTTGGTGCTGGGCCATGGGACCACTCCCTACTCGGCCAAGGACATCGAGGGGCTCTGCCGAGACTTCAGCCGACAGCACGCACGGGCCCAAAGCTACGAGCGCCAGGCTTACAGCCTGAACCTGGCCTCCCGCCTCCGGGCTCAGCCTCAGGACAAGCTGGCCTTTGCACTGAACGTGGAAGCGGGGGCACGCTGCTTCCGGGTACTGTTCCCCACACACCGCAGCAGCCTGCCTGATGCATGTCCCGTGTACTATCGAAGCCTGCAACTGGCCGAGCCTCCGCAGTGCCTTGAGGGCCAGCCTGGCTTGCGGCTCCGGTGGCGACGTCGAGTGTACTCAATGCAGACGAGGGAGTCCCACACTTTGCAGCCCAGCAGTGCCCTGCTGGACCCGCACATCCGGCCCGTGGACCCTGAGCTGTGGCGACAGCTGCTGGAGCTGGTGGAGAAGCAGCGCTGGCTTGAGGCAGCTGCCCTGCTCCGGGAGCAGGAAAACAGGGAGCCTCTGCAGCCTGTGCTAGGCAGGATGGTGAGGAGTTCCTGTGGGCACTTTGTGGAGGTGGTGCGGGAGCTGGGCCCCGGCCACGTACTGCAGGTGCAGCTCAGCGCCTCTCTGCAGCGTGGGCTCCTGGCTCCGGCCCTGCAGCTGTGGACCGTGGCGCCTGGATTCAGCCTGTGCTTGGAGCACTCGGAGCAGCCTGGAGACTGCTTTGCAGGCTGTGCACCCCGGGCGGCACCAGATCGCTGCGCCAGCGTGGACGAGTACACCAGCGTGTGGGGCCCGTTCTGTGCCCTGGAGTCGGCCACCGGCTCGGTGGCTGAGAACGACTCCATCACGCTGGAGCAGGTGGCAGTAAGCTGGGATGAGGACCGGACGCCACAAGGCCAGCTGCAAGGCTCCTTCTATCTGCACGACACCTTCCTACACGAACACAGTCTTCAAGACAGCACCTTCAACCACTCCTACCTCTGTATCCGGCTCGAGGGGCTGTCAGCTGTACCTGACGCTGAGGAACCCCTCACCAGCCTGGGCCCTCACCTGAGCATCAACCCCAAAACCTACACCTGGCTGGCCCATGGGCTGACGGAGGAGTGGGAGATGGAGGAAGACGGGACAAGTCGGCTGGAAAGCTCCAGCTGGGTGCACTTTCATGTCCTCCACATGGCCACGGAGAAGGTTCCAGAAGAAGTTCTGAGGCCTGGCACCCTCTTCACCATTGAGGTGTTGCCCAAGCAGCTTCCTGACCTGTAAGTTGGCCTCAGGCAGAGTGGGTGGGTGGTGCCCCGTCAGGCCTGCAGCCTCCCCCACCCATCTTCCCGCAACCCTAGGCGCAAGGAGGAAGCAGTGCACAAACTCAAGAGGTTCAAGGCATCCAAAGGGCCAGTTCCGCTGGCCATCAGCATTGCCCTAGGCCTACCCATCCCCCCACCCCTCCATGGCCCCCCAAGACCCCATCCTGGCCAGCAGCCTCTCCACAAAGGTAAGTCTGGGTGGGGCAGCATAGGAAAGGTCTGGACCTTAGGGACACGCCCTGCTGCCCCTCTCTTGCCTCCTCCTGTCCTCACTATCGGGCTTCCAACCCTCCCTTCCTGCCCCCTCCTAGGGGCCCCCAAAGCCAACATCTTTCTGAAGAATTCAAACTATGACTTGATGGGGGGCCGCCACCAGCTGAACCCCAGCCAGACCAACGCTGTGCGTGAGGCTCTGAAGAAACAGTTCACGGTCATCCAGGGCCCCCCAGGTGAGAGTGTGCCCAGGTAGACAGAAGCAGGGATACTGGGCCTGGCTGGGAACAGGGACAGACAGGAGGAGGTGGAGCCTGGCAGGTAGGGCGGGGATAAGAAGGTGTGGCCTGGGGGCGTGGTCGGGGGGGGCGGAGTGAGTGCGAGGTGGGCGGTGCTCACAGATGGGCCTTGGCAGGCACTGGGAAGACCGTGGTGGGCCTGCATATTGTGTACTGGTTTCACAAGTACAACCAGGAGCACGTGCGAGGCCCCAGAAGCCCCTGCATCTTGTACTGCGGCCCCTCCAACAAGTCCGTGGATGTCCTAGCAGGTGCGTGGGGTGGGGGAGTGGAGGGAGACACTCTGCTAGGCCTGTCCGCGTGCTTCACCTTCCTCCTGCCCCCAGGGATGCTGCAGAGATGGCGAGAGGAACTGAAGCCCCTCCGCTTGTACAGCGAGCAGGCCGAGACAACCGAGTTCCCTGCCCCCAGCCTGAGCGGCCAGAACCTACCCAGGAAGACTCCCCAGGAGGGGAAGCCCAACTGGACTCTCAGGTGGGCCCTCTCCACTGTGGCTCAGCAGGGGAACAGGATGGGGTGTGAGGGAGGTTGGGGCCTCATGGAGACCAACCGCCACCCCCACTTACGCCCCCTCCCCAGGAACATCACTCTGCACCATCGGATCCGGCAGGCCCCCAACCCCCACGCCCTTGCCCTCCGAGACTTCGACCGCCGAGTGAGGAGCCGGGAGCCGTTCTCTTTAGAGGACATCGCCCAGTAAGTGGCTGGGGAGGAGGCGTGGCCCAGACGCATGGCACAGGTGCCTGTGGTGACCAACATGTCCCCACACAGGTACAAGAAGACCCTCAAGGAGGCTCGGCGTTTCGAGCTGGCCCAGCACACCGTCATCCTGTGCACCTGTTCCTGCGTGGCCTCAGGCTCCCTGAAGAACCTGAACGTCCGCCAGGTCCTCATTGATGAGGCTGGGATGGCCACGGAGCCAGAGACACTTATCCCCCTGGTGCGCTTCCCGAAAGTCGAGAAGGTGCGAGGTCGGCGTACTCTGGGGTGGGGGGGGGGGCCCTGCTCTGGTGGTGGGGGCCATGCCTGTTCACCTTCACATGGGGCTTCATCCAGGTGGTCCTGCTGGGTGACCATAAGCAGCTGAGGCCAGTGGTCAAGAATGAGCAGCTGCAGAACCTGGGGCTGGACCGGTCGCTCTTCGAGAGGTACCAGGGCGACGCCTACCTGCTGGACACACAGTACAGAATGGTGAGCCTGCTGCCTGGTGTGCCCACACCCATCCCCTGTCACCTCTGTCCCCTCCCTGGCCTCCCTCAGATCCGGAGCTGCACAAGGGCGGAGGTGGGCTCCTCTCCTCTCACTGACCCTCTCTTGCAGCACAAAGACATCTGTTCCTTCCCTTCCATGGAGTTCTACAAGGGCAAGCTGAAGACGTGGCAGGGCCTGCGGCGGGCTCCGAGCGTCCTGGGCCACCCGGACAGGAGCAGCTGCGCCATCATCTTTGGCTTCCTGCAGGGCCGAGAGCAGGGCCTGCTCGTCTCCACCGATGAAGGGAATGAGAACTCCAAGGCCAATCTGGAGGAGGCTAAAGAGGTGGTGCGTATGCCATCGGGCCTGGAGGGTTTCCCGGAGGAGGGGCCCAAGCCAGGGCGGAACAGTGACTGCGATCTCTGCTCAGAGTCACCACTACCTCTGGCCCTTTAGGTCCGCATCGCCAAACAGCTGATCCTGGACAAAACCGTGGACCCCAAAGACGTGGCGATCCTCACCCCGTACAATGCTCAGGTGGCAGAGATCAACAGGGGCCTCTCGAAAGCAGGTGTCACCGGAGTTACTGTGTCGTCCATCACAAAGAGCCAGGGTAAGGGGCTTGGGCACAGGGGTGTAGGCATGGGCACTGCCAGGGGCAGGTGGGGATCTGACCATTTTCCCCACGCCCTATGCCTCCCAGGGAGCGAATGGCGGTATGTGCTGGTGAGCACTGTCCGAACGTGCTCTGTGAGTGACGTTGATCAGCGCCCCACGAAGGGCTGGCTCAAGAAGTACCTGGGCTTTGTTGTAGACCCCAACCAAGTAAATGTGGCCCTCACTCGTGCCCAGGAGGGTCTCTGCCTCATTGGTGAGCATGGGCACTTGACTGCAGAGTGGATGGGGCTAGTTTAACCAGGGGCCCTGTTGGCGGTCAGTGGTGGGAAGTAGGGCTCCTCAGGGTGGTCTTAAGGGGAGGGGCAGCTCCCAGGGATAAGTCTCTTTTGACTCCTCTTTCTCCCAGGAGACCACCTCCTCTTGCGTTGTTGCCCTCTCTGGCGGCGACTCCTGGACTTCTGTGAGGAGAAGAGGAGCCTTGTGCCTGCCCACCTGGTGCAGGTCCGGAGGAGGCCAGCTGTGTCCCACTGAAGAGCCCCCTAAACTCACCTCCTCCCTCTAGGGGTGCTAGGGTGACCTCTCCTGTGCCCTCTGCCTGCGAGAGGTCCCCTTAGATGACCCTATGTGCCTTCATCGCTGTCAGCCTGCCAGCCATCAGCACTGGCTGTGCTGGGCAAGGGTTGCCAGGTCTGGGCGGCTAGTGCCATTGAGCAATATGCGAGCCTCCCGTCTGCGCTCAGCAGAGCAGCTCAGTGAAAGTCACACCTGGGTTTGCACTCACCACTGCTGCTTTCCCAGCACTGGGTGTCAGGGAAGTTCCCAGAGTGGCCACGTGAAAGGCCCCCAAGTCACTGGGAAGACTTGGGGTCAGGAAGGACACTCCAAGGCCACTGAGCTACCTGTGGACACCATCTGCCACCACACTGGATACCGTCCACAGAGACCACCTTTTTAAAATTTTTAAATAGGCCAAAAGCCAGTGCTTTTTATTTTACTGGAACAGGGACTTTAACTCCATCTCAGGGCAAGGTGGCCTCCCTGGAAGAGGAGGCCTTTCTTTCACCACCGCTGCCTGAGTTTCACTCTGCCACCCCAGGGACTGGTGTCCTGAAGGGTTGCTGGGAAGCGAAGGCTAGACCATAGGCCCCACATCACTGGGAGGTGGGAAGCCTACTTGTGCAGTCTTGCCCAGTGGGCTCAGCACTGCCTCCAGGTCATCCAGCACTGCTTCTCTTGGACACTGCCGTTGGCCTGCTTCCCATACCAGGGGCTTTTGAGACAATCAACTAGGGTGTCTTTATAGGTTGGGACCTTAGCAGTCCCTCTGGAGTGAGGTCCGTGTCCTTTCTCCACCATGCCAAACACTTCCCCAGCCAGCTCCCATTGGGGTGCATGGCACCTGCCCCTGCAGTAGGGTGTCCACTGTGGCCACAGACGCCACATCAGCGTGGGTGTTCCCCACGGCCACCTGCTGCGGGTCCCTCTGGGCGATGTTTACTGCCTGACTCGACATTCCGTCTTTGTACCTCTCAAATGCACTGTGTACTTTTATCATAAAGACAATCAATGCTGCAAATTCTTCTGCTCCTGGTGATTTGAGGCATAGGGTGGATTCATGGGGGGGTCTCCCCTGAACTGGGGCTAAAACATGGCCATGAGTCCTTAAGAGCTCACTGCAACTGGAATGCAGAGGCAGTGAGGGTCACTGCACAGCTGAGTACAAGGGTCTCAGGGTCATCCACTATGGTAAGAGGCTGAGCAAAGTGCCCTGGTTGGAGACAGCCACCTCACTGAACTCTCTTCCAGACCAGCTGGCTCCAAATTGGTTGTGAGTCCAGAGGGCCCTAGCATCAGCCTTCAGTGGTGTCCAGCTGGGGGATGATTCCAGCTCGCAGGGACAATGGAGGACCAAGAACTAAGTTCCCATAGCTTTCCAAGGCTGTAAATCTTTGTGGACAAAACTCCCTGCCTTCTTCAAAGCTCTGGTGGCTTAGTGGGAAGGAGCTGCCAACCCAAAAACGCAGTTCGAATCCACCAGCTGCTCTGCGAGATGGGCAGTCTCCACTCATGTTTTACAGCCTCTGAAAACCCATAGAAGATTCAGCTAGGAGTTGGTTCTGACTTGATGGCACAGAACAACTATCACCTTGATTCCAAGGATGGAGACTCTTAGTGACACTCCTTCGGGTTTCCAAATAACTGGACAAGATTGATCATGCTTCTCTCCTAGAGCAGCTTGAGCTGAAGGTGCCTTTTGTGGACAGAACTTGAAGCCTGTCACACAGGGACCAGGTGGTGAAGAGATCTCATTCTGACCTTCGAGTCCTGAGTGCTGCTGGGTGCTCAGGGTGAGGGGAGGTACAGCTGTGGAGGCAGTGCCAGACACTGGGATTCCCGGGGTATTCTGAACAAGCCCTGCCTTTCCAGAGACCTGACTGGGGCAGCCACAGCTCCTGTGTTGCAAATGGAACCCAGAGCCAGGACCCAAAGGCCACACGGTGAAAGCGTTTTTCTCAGCAACGAGGTAAGGCCTGGGACAGGGTCTGCCTCGCTGAGGCCTGGATCGGCCTCATCCACAGAACACAAAGTGAGGAGGGTCTGTCGCTACTGCGAAAGTGTGACGTGGAGGGTTCTGGATGCAGGGAGCTGGCCCGGGCTGAGAAGGATGTAGAGGGTGATGAGGGGCCTGGAGGAGGCCCACTGATTGGGACTCAAGTGCTCCCCCGTTGAATCCCCCACCACCCAAGGCCACTTGCCTGTATAGTGCCCTTGGCCCTCCACCCTGTTTCTCCCTCCCACAGATCAGGGGTCTCCATTCCTTCCAAGCTTTGTATCCCCTAAGCCCTCCAGCCCTGCTCTCTCATTCTAAGATGCCCCAGATCCTTTATGGGGGACAGTGGGCACGTTTCCATGAAGTGGGGCCATTAGCATTGACCTGCTGGACTATGCTGTGGGTCAACAGCTGGGAAGGGCTGGGCTGGGAGCCCCATTGGAGCTGGGGGCTCGGGGCCCTTCTCATGCTACTGGGGTTCAGGGTCCCTAAGGTCAGAACTGGCTCAACAGTGACTTGTGACTTTTCCTTTGGCAGCGCCAGCCTTTGGTCACTTGTGTGGGGCCAGGAGTTGAGGGGCAGGCTCTTGGCCAGGAACAGGCTCTGTTCAATAGCCATTCAAGACAGGAGGGCAGAGTAACCTTCAGGTTCTCTTGGGGAGAAGACAGGACTTCTGGTACCACATTTTAAAGAAAATCTCTCTTGGGCTTGGTCTCCCTGCTTCTAAAGAATGACCAACCCCTGGAGGGCTGAGGGGGGCCTAGGCAAGAGGTCAACCCCCTCCCAGAAAGCCTCTGGCCTGGGAGGGAGGGAGGGACACCAGAAGGTCACCAGAGTCCAGACTGAATCCAGAACCACATTCAGGAAGAGCCCCTGAAGTGAGTAGCCACTTAAAGAAAGTGCCTAGGACTGGATTTCCTCTCCAGAAGCTTCTGATCCCCAAGACGTAGATTAGGGGCCCTGCGACAAGGGCTGGAGTCTCAGGGATGTGGGCTCCCTGGAATAAGGCATTCAGCATGTGTGTCTGTGGCCTGTGTGTGTATACTTTTTATTGTGATAAATCCTAGAAAATCCTGTCAGAAGGTGCGGTTGGGGGCTGGGCGGAGTGGCCCAGCTAGCAGGGGATGAGCCCCTTCGGGGGGCCCTGGCTTGGTGTGCAGGGTGAGGCTGTCCCACCAGGGCTCGTAGACCAGGGTGTAGCTCTCGGCTCTCTTGATGGTGAACTTGTAAGTGCGGTTGGGCAGCAGGTTGCGGACGTTGAAGGAGCAGGCTGTGACAGGGATGAGGCCACACTGCATGCACTCCTGCTGGGTCTGCGGCTCCAGCAGCTTGAAGCGCAGCTCAAACTGCTCCGGTGCAGATGGCTGGATGGTGACGAACCAGTGCAGGCTGGCCCAGTCCTGGTGGGCCACCGACTCCTTGCGGTCAAACATGACCGGCATCTTGGTGCTCAGTATCAGTCGAATGTGGGGGACCTTAGTGGCACCAACATCCGACACCAGCCGATGCTTGATGTGCAGCCGTCCGGGCACCATCATGGCCAGGAAGTTGTCCATGATGGCTGCCAGGTCCATCAGCTGCCGTTCCACGCGCCCCCAGCCAGTCAGGAAGGGCCGAGGGTCAGGTGACTCGAGCAGGGCGTCCAGCTGGGCGCGGCCCCAGTCCAGCTGCTCCAGAAGGTCACTGAGCAGCAGCAGCTGGATCTTGGTCTGCGCTGTGCCTATCTTCTTCATGCGCTGGAACTTCCAGGGGTCAATGAGCTGGAACATGGTGTTGGGCAGCACCAGTGGGTTCTGGTCACCCAGGGCCAGGTGCTTGGGCAGGATCTCAATGTGGTAGGAGCACTTCTGCAGGAGCTCCAGGCGGGCGTGGTGCCGCTTGAGGAGCTGCGGGCTCAGCTCAGAGATGAGGAACTCCCGCAGCCCGCTGCGGCGCTCCACATAAGTCCTCCAGGCCTCTGGCTCCAGGAGCTGCCTGCCCTCCGCCTCCTCTACCTCCTCCGGCTCCAGGAACGCCCGAGGACTGTCTAGTTTCATCCTGTCCAGGCCCAGGCCTGTCACCTGGAAGTTCATTGTCTGAGAGCTGACGGGAGGGGGCAACTGTGAGTGGGCCAGCTACCCCCAGCCTCCGTGCTCTGGGGCCCCCAGGTACCCTCAGTTGGTCACTTCAGTGTGGGTCATCCAGGCCCATGCTGCCCACACGTGATCTCCCGAGGCAGGCCAGGGCCAAGCACTTCTCTTTGGCAGGAGGAGCAAAGGACCAATTGTCAGTGTTGAGGGTGACACAGAGTGGGGATGACCGTGTGCCTTGTGGAGGCTGAGAGGACTCACGTGGCATTGGACACACAGCCACACACACTCCCTTCCAGCCCGGCACGGCTGAACCCCGGCCCAGTGGTCTGTGCAGGGTGGGGACAGCACCATGGAGCCTCTGAAGGCCAGTGACAACGGGCTTTGGGGGTCACTGACTCCATAAGGCCCAGAAGTGGCCAGCCCTACGCCCATGTCATGGTTGTGCCCGCTGCACCAAGCTCTACTTCCCAGATGTGGGGGCAGGAGAATCCCTGCTCTCAGCAGGAGGGGCCGAACACCCCAAGCTAGTCTTTGGGGCAAGCTGAGAGGCCCGTGGGGAAACAAGACCCTGGCCTAACTGGGCTCAGGAGAAAGGGATTCAAACACAGGCCTGCAGGAGAATCTTGCTCCTTAAGATCTGACAAGGGGCCAAGGAGTTTGTTAGGTGACAGGAGAAACCCATGCGCAGATAGTAAAAAATGGACAGAAATGCACCCGCCCAAAGTGCGGTTCTGCCCCTCGTCCCAATCCGAACGCGTGCAGAGCATCTGCCCCACCAGTTTCCCCACTCACCACTCCAGCCCTTGTTATCCGCTCCCAGCCCGAGATGCACCCCCGGACCCTGCCTCCTCGAAGGCCCCAGGCCCCCCACCCCCCACCCCGCGCCCCTCCCCGCTCACCTGCCCTGTCTCCATCTGGCGCTCCCCGCCCCCCCCACGCCCACCTACTGTATCTCCTCGAGGTCCTGCCCCTTCTCCCCTAGCCCGCCCATCCTCCCTGTCTCCTGCTCCCTCGCCACCCACCCGCCTTCCCCAGAGCCGCCTCCCTGTCTCCGTGCGCCCCGGCCCGACCCGCGCCCACCTGCCTCTACTAGTGGAGCGGAGCGATGCGGCGCTCAGTGTCCAGTCTTGGGAGCCTTGCCTCGCGCAGGAAGCTTTCTAGTGAGTTGCCTGGGAACCTAGGGCCATTATGACGCCCAGACAGGCCCAGGGGTGGGGGTGGGGCGGAGTGCCCGGGAGAGCCCCGCGGGCCCAGCAGGCAGAAATGGTCTCCGTTCAGGCTGCGTTTTCTTCGGGACAGTGCGGGGGCCGGAGCCCAGTTTCCGCTCTGGCGGAAATGGCAGCCCTTTCCTTCAAGATTCCGAGCTCTCTCTGGCCCCACGCCCCTATCTGGAAGCCACCACACGGCGGAGGCCCAAGTTCTGCGCTGGTTCTGCAGCGCTCCTGTGGGCTGCCCGGCTTCTGTGACGAGGTCGGGACCTGGGTGATGGCGAGGCGGCCTCCGAGCGGAGACCCTCTAGACCTTGGAAGAATGGGAGCGACAACAGGATCTCCGATACTGGTCAGTGGGCATCTCCAGTCGCAGGACATCGGATCCGACAGCAGGAGGAGCGCGCAATCTGCAGGAGGCTCCCGCGTTTGGAGGGACTGGGGGTGTCTTCCCGCTTGAACAGATCTGGAGGGTTCTGGCACTGGTCTGTATACAGGGAGGCTTCATAACTCCAGGGAACCCTTAGAGGCGCTCTCAGTCGCTCTCATCCCACCTGTAACACCCAAACTGTGCTCAGCACTTGTTGGGGGCTCCGGCAGGATCGGAAATGAAACCTTTAATAAGTCAGAGGTCCATCTCTCAGCGGCCTCGCTGTAGCCCTTCTGGTGTGTCCAGCCTGTGGGAGGATCCCTTCCCATCTGCCCTCTCACCTAGACCTGGAGGCTGGGGAGGAGTAGTGTGTGGTTCCTGCTCCTACTGGGCTCTTCTGTGAGCACATTCCTTCTTCATTAGGAGCCTGGGACCCACAGTGGGTTTGGAGGGGTGCTGTCTGAGGGCATGTACCTGGGGAGGGGGCAGGGCCGGGGATCAACAGGAGGAAGGCCCTGAACCTCCTCCGCTCTCAACGCTGTGCATCCTGGATCTCCACTCCCTCTGCTTTGTCATTGTTGTTACTTTTGGCTCTCAGCTGGTTTTGAAATTATTATTATTAAAACTACCTTTGTGAAACGGACAGATTCGTATGCAGTTTTAATAGCAAGGTTTAGGAGAGCTGGTGGCACAGTTGTATTGACTATGCTGAGGTATTTGACTGTGTGGATCATGACAAATTGTGGATAGCATTGAGAAGAAGACTGAGAATCTCAGAACATAACTGTGCTTATGTAGAACCTGCTTAAAGAATTCTCTTGTTAACCAAACGGTTTGAGCTCACTAGCCTCTCTATGGGTGGAAGCTTTCCAGCTCCCAAAGCTGCAGCCGCACTGGTCAGCACCTGGCAGTGGTAACGGGCTTGCGGTTTGCTTGTGTGTGCACATTTATTCAGTGACTGCCATCAAGGTGGAACTGACGCCTACAGAGCTGATCCTCCAGCAGGTTTCCAGGCTGTAAGTAGCATAATGTTATCTGTTGGCCCCAGTGGTGAGAATTTTTGTCTTTCTTCTTCTTCTTCTTCTTCTTGATGTTAACATGTAATCCATATTGAAGGTTGTAGTTTTTCATCTTCTGCAACAAGCACCACAAATCCTCTTTGCTTTGAGCAAGCAAGATTGTGCCATGCATATAACACAAGTTGTTGATGAGTCTTTCTTCAATCCTGATGCCACGTTTTTCTTCACAGAGCTCAGCTTCTTGAATGATTTGCTCAGCATATAGGTTAATAGGTATAGAGAAAGTGTGCAGCCCTGACGCACATCTTTATTTGAAACCCCACAGTGTTCCCTTGCTGTCTGTACAGCTGTCTCTTGGTCTAAGTATCGGTTACTCATTAGCACGATCAAGTGTTCTGTGATTCCCATTCTTCTCAGAGTCAGCCACAGTTTGTTATGATCCACACAGTCATATGCCTTAGCATAGTCAACAAAATGCAAAAGATTTTCTTCTGGCATTCTCTGCTTTCAGCCAAGTTACAGCCAACATCAGCAATTATATCCCTGGTGCCACAGCCTAAACCCAGCGTGAAAGTCCAGCAGTTCTTTGTTGAGACACTGTTCCAATTATTTTTTTTTATTTATAATCTATAAACCTATAATCTTCAGCAAAGTTTTACTTCCCTGTGATATTCTGGTTGGTTTGAACTGCCTGCTTTGCGGTTAGGGAGCTCTAGAGGCTTAGTGGTAAGGAGTTGTGCTGCCAACCCAAAGGCATGCAGTTCAAATCCACCAGCCGCTCCTTCGGAGAAAGAAAGATAAGCAATCTCTTTCCATGTGATTTACTGTCTCTGAAAACCCTTTGGAGGGGCAGCAGTGTGCCTCTCTTGACACATCTACAGGTTATCAGATCTCCCTAGACTCTGGACAGTGGGCACAGGCCCAGGTGGGTGGAGCAGTGGACAGTGAGTTCAGAATCCTCAGAATGTCTAGGGCTTTGACCCCTCGTAAGGGAGTCCTGAACCCAGTGTGTTAACATTCCCCAGTGTCTCTCAGTGGTGGTGTGTCAGCTGCACAAGTGTTGTGGTGCAGACCACTCTCCGGGCTGTCTCAGAGGAAGCTTTGTGAGTGGTGATCATCAGGCCTTTCTTCACAGAACTGCTGGGTGAGATGTCAGCTGATTACAGATTGTTTTGGGGAAAGGTGCTAACCTCTTCCAAAGGATGCACGTGTGGACACAGTCAAGACACAAGATGCTACACCTCACAAGGAGTCCTTTGCCACCCTCCCTCAGCCCCTGTGCCCACCAGCCACTGACTGGCTTGCTTTTCTGCAGTCTCTGTGCCACTGGAGGTTGTTGTGTGAAGGGACCAGCTGGCAGAACCTCCCGGTGTGATTTCTTTCCCAAAGAAAGACTCCCAGAGGTTGTCCCGGCTCTGGGGCTCCATCCCAGGGAGCAAGGGCACATGTCTGCATGGACTGGTTGGGGCTCTGCCGCCCCCTAGTGGACATACTACTCTTGGCCGAGGCCACAAGGAACCCAAACTCCAGGAGGGATTCTCCTCCAACTTGAAGGACAACGTTGCTGAGCCAATTGCCTCAACCTGAGTATACAGGAAGGCCCCTCCTCACCCACCTGACCTCACGGCCACTGGAAGCTCAGTGTCTCTTGAGACTGGTTAGAACAGGGTCAGACTCCTGGCACCTGGGGAAGACAGCTGCCCCTGGGGCTGTCAGTGTCCAGACCCTCATCCAGTGCCCACCTCTGGAGCTGGGGGTGGAAGACAGAGGATGACAGACAGGGGGAGGCTCCTCAGCCTGGCCTGAGAACATGTGACAAGGGGTGTGAATTTACAGGGAATGAGATGGACATACCACGCTTTGTAACAATACTCCAGCATATGTGGGCAGTACATGAGGTTGGGAAAGGAAAAGGGGGTCCTGGGCAGGGTCAGTGGTGGGAGAGCAGGAACACAGCGTGAGCAGAGGCCCAAGACCTGGCGGAAGGAGCCCAAGAAAGACTGTCACAGTGGGCTCTGTCAGGGGGCTGGAGAAGGTGTGGGGAGGGGCTTGAAGAAGGGTGGCCTGTGAATAGACCCTTAGAGTTTTCAAAAATGGCCTCTCCCAGGGGGCTCAGGGTGATGCCCTCCCTTAGACCTTCTGTCTGGTCACTGGAGGAGGCTGGCGATTCCTCACCAGAGGGCCCTGCTCATACACAGCATCCTGCAAGAAAGTGCTTGTGCTTCACCCACTCTCTGGGAGCCTCTTCTGACCAAGGCTTGAGCCCTCCTCAGACCCTGGCCACAAGGACCCTTTTGGGCTCCAGTTGCAGGTTGTATGTCCTGTCTCAGTCAGATGCTTGGCTCTGACCAATCCACCCCCACTAGGTCACACACTTAGGAGTGTCCTTGGCTTAGAGGTCTCCCAGTGACCTCTGATGGCAGATGAAGAAGTGGCCCACAGGAGGGAGGAGCAGGACATGAGGGAAGGGAGTAGCGTCCTTCAGGAGAGGAAGGGCTGGACTTGGGGAGGGGGGGAACAGGTGAGATGCAGAGGCCCACATGAGCACTTGTAGTGGTGGGGAGGTGAGAAGCCAGTCTAAACGTGTCCATGCACCTATCTAGACTGTGCACATTGGAAAATTTTTTTCCCTACCCAGCAAATTAATACTTTTTATTGTTCAGAGTAGTTTTAAGTCCATAGAAAAATTGTGCAAAAAGTACAGAAAATTTCCACGTTAGGAGTGACATCCACTTCTAAACAACATGCCTCTGGAAACACTATGAACTTTGATAAACCTCGGTAGTTACAGGCCTTTTGTTCATAGGGTCGCTATGAGTTGTGCTCGACTTGAAGGCAATCAACAACAATTAGTATATGCAGTTTTCCATTAAGCATTCCATGGCGCATTTGCTTTAACTGGTAGCAGATACTGAGCGTTGTTATGAAATAAGTAAGAGTCTTAGTTCATAACATGAGGGATTCCAGCACATTCCTTACAACCTTACAACTAACTGATGAGTTAATCCTGACATACAGTTATTGACTAAACATTACACAATTTATGTGGATTCACTCTGACCAGTGATCCTGCTGATCTGACAATACAACCTTTTCTGTGTCGTGCACTGTCCTGAAATGGCCTGTGCTTCCCTGTGCACCTGTAACTTTCCTGGGTTTCACCATATCCTGACCACTTTACAGCATGCTTCTGTTCGGGTGTGCCTAGGGGCATTCTGGAGACTTGGCCTGGGCAGCTCTGGGACAGGGTGAGTGTCCACCTGTTTGATTGGCCCTGTGCTTGGTTCCATCAGGGCTGTGGCAGAGGGGGCTGTGTGTAAAGTCACACAGGGCAGCCTCCCCTGCTCCAAGTGTGACTCTGCCATGGTAAGGCCCTGGGATTCCTGGCACATGTCCACCTGGCAGGGCAGAGCTACCCTCCCGGGCCTTGGCACCGGGCCCCGCCCTGAGAGGTGCTGTATGAGGCCCCTCCCCCAATGATTCGCACCTGGGAGCCCTGCTCCTGCCCCAGCCAGTCAGGAAAGGGAGGCTGCCCAGAGTCCAACATCAAGGCTGCGGAGGGAGCTGTGTGTGCGGGGGCTGGGGACCAGAGGACCCACTTGCTCACTCCCACTCTGAACATCAGGCCTAAGGTGGCCCAGGATGATGGGCTTCTGCTTTAGGCCTCTGAAGTGACTGAGGGCTGGGTGTCACAGCCCCTAAACCCTGTGCCATCCGAGACTCTGGCTGGGGACCTCTTACGCTGTCCCACCGGCCCATCCAGTTTCTCTTGGCACGGCTGGAAGTCCTGGAGGCTTGGGCTCCGGGGATGGTGGCTGTGCTCAGCCTTGTGTGCAGTGGCCTTGGAGGAGCCTGGTGACAGCTGTGGGCACGGCCGTCAGGGAGCATGGAACCTTTCCTCAGGAAGCGACTGACCTTCTTGTCCTTCTTATGGGACAAGATCTGGCCAGTAGGCATGATGGACGACTGGGTGCCTCAAGCCATAGACGCGGAGCCTGAGGAGGCAGAGCCCCCCAGCATGGATCCTGGCAGGTCCTCGGTTCCTGCTGGGCAGCTCTTCACTGTGCTACGTGACTTCACAGCCCGGTGCACAGATGAACTGAGCGTCAGCCGCGGGGACCGGCTCTGTGCCCTCAAGGAGGAGGGCGACTACCTCTTTGCCCGCAGGCTCTCAGGGCCGCCCAGTGCAGGCCTGGTGCCCCTCACCTATGTCACCAAGGTCCCGGCAGATGTGTCAGATCAACCGTAAGTACCATGTTCAAAGCGCTGGGTGGGCAGAGCCAGCTGGCCTGGGCTTCATAGCAGGAACAAGCCCATGGACGTGTGTCCAGCCATGAGGGCTGCTTGTGGCCAGCTCTTCCTGGTCAGCCCTGGAATGCAGCAGGGAGCAAGCAGGTGTTCTGGTATGGTGCCACTTTGTCTGAGGTCACTGCTACCAGGGAAATGGGAGGACACAGGCTGATCACACATCTGGATCATTATTTGGGCTGGGGCAGCAAGTGCCTGGGCTGGGCCAGTGGATGGTCACCTCCCTTAGCAGGCCCTGCCTGCTGGTACTCTTGTTCTCACATTGATCCAGCCCTGCTATCTGGCACCGGCAGGTCTCAAGTCGAGTGCCAGCAAGCAGGTGTCGACCGGCCCATCATCCATGCCCAACATGCTCTCTCCGAGGTGGGTGGGGTAGAGGGCTCTGCTCCCAACACGATGCAAGGCCGGGTCCCTTGGGCCCAAGCAGCACTTGGAGCTTCAGAGTGCTGGGGGTGACAGGCTAGTGGGGGGCATCTGAGGGAGGCAGAGACTCACACGCGAGGCCACACTGACTGGGAACAGGTTCACTTGTGGCCTTGGCCTGTGGATGGGTATCAAAGCAGCCCATTGGAGGCAGGCACAGGTCAGGGGACCCCTGGACCCGAATGGGACACAGTGTAGGTAAGTCTGGGAGAGGGAGGCCACACTAGGAACCCCAGGGGCTGTGTCTGACCACCTGTGACCTTAAAGGATGGAGGGCAGACTCAGGTTCTCATGCATGCTGCACACAGACCAAAGGGACAGAAGCTCCTGCTGACCTTTGATGCAATGGTCTGAGCCAGCCCAAAGGTCCCCTCTGCCTGGCCTGTGGTCTCTGCCAGCATGGTATGTGGTTGCAGTGGGCATATGGCAGAGCCTGGCCGAACCACACTCTGCCTGAATTCTCCAGAGACAGGTTCCATCCTGACTGGCCTTTTGGGACCACTTGGGCACTCACCTTGTGGCAGGTGGAGCCTAGATTCATAGGAGGGGACTTTGGAGCTGGGTGGGGACCACCGACCCAGTGAGCAGGTGCTGGAGGTAGCTGGCAGTCTCCAGAGGAAGCTCCAGGGGAGCTAATGACAGTTTGCAGGCCAGAACATGCACAGTGTCATTAGGCCTAGACACCTGGCTGACTCCAGGGGCCTAACTCTGGGGCAGGTGGCCTTCACTTGAGCACACCTGGGCTCCCAACCTTGGCAGTACTCAGCTTCTGCCTCCAGTAAAATCTGTGTACCCCTTTTGCTGTCTCACGCGCCCTGCCTTGGGGCAGACTGCACACTGGCTGGTGACCCAGCCGAGGTGCGGTGTCTGTGGAGGATCTGGTGCTGAGTGTGCCCTGCTTCCCCACAGCCTGTGGACTCGTGACTACTTGCCCTGTGTCAGTATACAGTGCTCAGACTCCTCTGGCTCCCAAATCAGTGTGTGCCTCCCCCAAGCTGCTGACTCTCCAGATTACTGCTTCAGGGATGACCAATGTCTGTCAATGCCAGCAGGTGTCTGTCTGCCCCCCATGACTTGTCACACCCACTGAGGGTCCCCAATATTTCACAGGCTTCTGCCTTTTTCCACCATCGCTCTTCACTCTGTCTCTGCCCACACGAGGTTCCGTATCACTGCTGGCCATGTCCCTTCCCATCCTAGCTGCCCCCCCCCCGGTCTGGCCATCACAGGGTCACTCTCCCTGCTCACCAGTTTCTCCTGCCTGTACACCCTCCTCACTGTCGTGGACTCAAGTGCTTCCCTTGATACTTTCAGACCGATTCACCCTGTGCTCATCAGTGGAAGAGGAGGCCCCTCGGCGATTCCTCTGGGACTGACTTGGACAGTCTAGGAGGAGGCTGGCTCCGTGGGTGGGGGGCGTGGAGAGGCGAGTTAGATGTGGTCCACACCTGGGCCTTGGGAAGCTCAGACACATGAAGGGGCAGGACCAGGGGTGCTTCTGTGTTTTTTTTTTCCCCCAGGGTCTCTGGCTCCACAAATGAGCAGAGCCCAGGGGTCACACCAGATCAGACTTGGTGAGGGCACAGGTGAGCCATTGTTCCAACAGAGCATCTGATGGGGAGCTCCTGTCCCCTCCACTCATACTTTCTGGTCTGGTCTGAAACCTTCTTCAAAGGTCCCTTCACCTCAAGCTCAGAGACTCAGGTGCACCCAGCTTTAGAAGTGGGGCAATTTGGGGGTTTGTGTGTCCACTCAGGAAGGTTCTGCTTAGATGTTTCCACTGAGGACTGCTTCAACCCCTAACTGTGTGCTCCGGTCTGAGTGCACCCTGAGGTAGGCGAGCCCAGCTCCTGGTTCCCATGGGCTTCTGTGGTCACCCCTGGAGACATCCCAGGGTGCTTCTGGGGTCTGTGGGCTATCAGGCCCTGCCTACGACAGAGTTAACTGTCACCCTGTGAGCAGGTGTGAGTGGCTGAGGTGAGTGAACCTGAATGGACTTGGTGGCTGGCCTGGGTAGGTGTGTCCTAGACCTTGGAGAATCGAGGCTGCACAGGTGACAATGGGGAGACAGGACAGAGAGCCCACAACCCTAGAGACAGCAGGACACAGAGCAGTACGTGTCTGGTGACTGCTGTGCCCACCACTTGCAGCTGGTACTTCAATGGGATCAGCCGGACAGAGGCCCAGCAACTGCTCCTGTCACCTTCCAATGCACCGGGGGCCTTTCTTGTACGGCCCAGTGAAAGCCGCCGTGGGGACTTTTCACTGTCAGGTGCGCCAGGCAGCCCTCAGCACCAGCCAGTGAGGATTCTGACCTGCAAGGGGTTCTCAAGGGAGGGCTGGACTGTAGCCACGCTGTCACTATGTCTACTGATTTGCTTACCCCCTCACTTCATTCACTCCCTTCCTATGGGATTCACTTACACAGATACTCATTGGCTAGCCCCCTTCCTCGGGACTAACTTATTTACTCTTGTTCTTTTTAATGAACTCGTCCACTCATTTATTCTTTCCTGTGCCCCTTCTCACATGCCTTCCTGCACCTGTTTATCCAATGAAGTACTTGTTAACAATCTCTGCTTACTCATGGCTCCTTTCACTTAACAATTGTCCCTTTAGCACTGGCTCTTTGTATACTGTCCCTGGACCCCGGAGCCCTCTTGCTGGCCTCTGGTCTGCAGATACACCCCCCACACCCCCAGAAACTGCAAGGGCAGAGCTGAGGTGGGCCCCTCAGAGAACAGGGTCCTTATCTGGAGTGGAGGGTCTGGGGGGAGGGAGGACACAGCCAGGTCACAGCCAGGTCGTGGTCTCCATTTCTCACTTCCTCAGTCAGGGCCCAGGCCAGGGTCTGCCACTACCGCATCTCCACTGTCCAGGGTGGTCTCTACCTGCAGCGAGGCCGGGTCTTCCCTAGCCTGGAGGAGTTGCTTGCCTACTACAAGACCCACTGGAAGTTGATCCAGAACCCGCTGTTACAGCCCTGCGCGCCCCAGGTGATCCTGCCTACCAGGCCCCGCCGTCCTCACCCCTCCGTAGTACACTTTCTGGAGTGGGAGTGGAGGGGTGTAGGGCAGAGAAGGCCCAGCTCTGGAGGTGGGGGAGGGCAGGCCCAGGGCAGCTCTTAAGAGGAAGTCGTGGGAGGAGTCGCTGATCAGCAGTATCTCTGTATCTGCGGATCGCGCAGACCTGCGCCCAGTTCTTCCCGTCTTGTAATGACAGCGCAGCCTGACACTAATGAGTGTTTATGGACTGGACGCCCGGCTTGGGCGAAGGTGCCACTTAGGGCCCTGGCGGCGTTGGGTCTGCACCTGTGTCCCCTAGCCAGAGCCGGCAGAGCGGGCGGGCTGGCGCGGGAGGTGGGGCTACAGGCTTAAAGGTAGGCAAGGCCCCAGCTGTGCTCCACCCCACCCCGCTACTGAGCGACACTGAGAGCCCCGACCCTCAGATGTCCCCGGAGCAGGACGAGTGGGAGCGGCCCCGCTCCGAGTTCGCCCTGCGCAGGAAACTGGGCCAGGGCTACTTCGGGGAGGTCTGGGAAGGCCTGTGGCTGGGCTCCGTGCCCGTGGCTATCAAGATCATCAAATCAGGTGGGTGAGCCGAACGGCCGGGGACCGCGGGGGACCGGACGGCGGGGCTGGGCGCGGGCGAGGTCTTCAGTGGCGCCCGTCCTGCAGCCGACATGAAGCTCGCGGACCTCGCCAAGGAGATTCAGACGCTCAAGAGCCTCAGGCACGAGCGGCTCATTCGGCTGCACGCGGTGTGCTCGGCGGGGGAGCCAGTGTACATCGTCACCGAGCTCATGAGCAACGGCAACCTACAGGCCTACCTGGGCGGTGGGTGCCACGCCTTGCGCACAGCCACTCCCACGCCCCGCCCCAGCCCCGCCCCTCGAGA